GGTCGTGTGTGTTTAACATCTATAATTCTCACCTGTGGGCTCATGGCAATCCACATGGCACAATAGCACACGCGTACCAAGAAAGGTTTTCTTAATGTTTGGTCAGGCATTGTGCATAATAACTTACAAGGACCGTACATTCTACCTAGTCGTTTAACTGGCCATACGTACAACATCTTCCTACAGGAGGTTTTACCCGAACTTCTGGTAGATATTCCTCCAGCTGTTCGCAGAAGAATGTGGTTCCAGCACGATGGAGCCCCAGCTCACTTCAGTCGGAACGTCAGGAATCACCTGGATGCTGTCTACGGCCAGCATTGAATAGGACGGGGAGGTCCAGTTCCCTGGCCAGCGCGTTCTCCTGATTTAACCTGCTTGGTTGTTGTAGTTGTAGTTGCAGTTCATTTACGTAGCACTAGAGCTGCACAATGGGCTATTGGTCTGGGAAACATCCCTCAGGATGATCCGAAGACATGCCATCACAATTTTGATCCTCTGCAGAGGGGATGGCACCCCCGCTTCGGTTGCCCGACAACCTGCACGCAAAGTCGAGCACTTAACGGTAGAACAGTTTAACGTGGACCCATACCTCACATCCTCGGTCCCAACGCAGACTGATCCAAGTGATCACCCACCCGTACACTGACCGCAGCCAGTGATGCTTGACTTCGGTGATCTGCTGGGAACCGTGTCTTAACGATCAGTCCTCTGCGGGACTTAACCTACTTGAATTTTTTCTTTTGAGGTCATATTAAAAGCCTGGTGTACAAGAGTCCCGTCATCTGAAGAAGATCTTGTTGCCCGCTTGTCTGCTGCTGCTTTACATGTGCTCGACATGCCTGACGTCTTTTCCAATGTACGTTGATACATGCGCTGTCTCTGTGAATCTTGTATCGCTGTTGGTGGCTGCTCTTTCGAGCACCTCTTGCAAACTGTTGATTAATTTTTGTTTTCTTTTGTCTTTACTTGTCTTTTCAGTTTCCTTTGATTCATACTGCTTTACAAGCTAGTGCTTTAATGTGCTATTACCGCGCACACATTACGAAATATGCTTATTTATGTCCCCTCTACCTACCTTTACATTTTTGACATATATTTTAGGACCACCTTGTATATTGCAATCAAAACCGAAAAGAAAAAATTATTTCACCCAACATGNAGGAGTTGGCACTAGGCTCTCCCGCAAGTGACCACCCACAATCGGATATAAAAAGCGACATTAAAAAGAAAAAGATGTTACGGATATTATTGAAGCCATGCCAAACTCGAAATCACACGGCTCAAATCATTAAATAATTATCGAAAATAATTAAATAAAAGTAACAGATAAATAAGTAAATGAAACAAAAAATGTGTAGTGTATCTACCACTACAAAAAAATAATTCCAATTCACTAGTATATAAGACATGTTAACTCGATTCTATGGTGGGGTACCTTTTCATAGATGAAGGTTAACATTGTCGATAACTACCAGCCCCGATTTGGTGATCTTCGGACGTGATGTGAACACGCCTACTTTGGCAGAAACTCCTATTACGATTTGAACACGCCTACTTCGATGGATGGTTCACACTGAACAGTTGACTTGTTACTTGTAATTGCGACATCGTCGTCCTCACGCTGTTGTTTCTCAGGCTCTATCACATACAATGTATACACTCGACTGCTAAAGGCAGCACAGGAGTGACCACGACCGTGAACTTAATACAGCTCTCACGATCAGCAAACGAACTTAATACAGCTCTCACGATCAGTACAGCTCTCACGATCAAAAAAGTACGGTGATCTTAATAGAGCTCTCCCGGCTTCCCACAAAACAGCAATGAATCAACTAGTGGTATTCGTTCATCGAATTCTATCACAAATATAATTCTGGTGGGGGAGTACTGTAGTGTATCTACCACTACTAAAATATAATTCCAATTCACTAGTATATGAGACATGGTAACTAGATTCTATGGTGGGGTACCTTTTCATAGATGAAGGTTGACATTGTCGATAACTACTAGTCCCACAATTGCAACGCTACTAAATCAAAATTTATAAAAATGACAATAAATTAAACATTACTACGCTAAAATATCGATTATATTAAATAAATTTAAAATATATAAATCAACTTAAAATATATTGAAATATACACATTGAATTATATTTAAAATATACTAGTATGAACTTGTAATAAAATTAGTGAATTTTAAAAAAAATATTTAAGTGAAAATAATATATTCAATTAATTTACTATTTGTAACATGGTGGTAGAAAGGATATATTTATATTTGACTCGATTTATAAATAATTAATAAATTTTTTCATGTTAATTCCTTAGATGCTCAGAATATTTTTTTTTTTTTGTAGAACTAGTTGGTTTTTTTATTTATTTATTTATTTATTTTTTTGCTAACTTTCATATTTGTTTTATTATATAGCTAGTTTTATTTATTATAGTTTTATTATTTTTGTTTTGATTATCTTTGTATCATATGTCAAAAACATACCTTATTATTCTTATTTAAAAATTAAAAAAAATATTCGTATTAGAAATGTTAATACTTTTTTATAATTGAAGTCAGTGTAAAACAGAGATTTACCGTAGCAAACTTCTTGGCGGAATATTTCTCGATTCAGCCATCACTGCGAATTTAATATGTCGCAATAGAAGAATATCAAAACGAAATCTAAATATTTTGTTTGCTATAATTATTTTTGATTCCTGCTTTGTTAAAAAGCAGCAAAAGGAAAAATTCTAACACCTTTTTACATTTGCAAGGAACATAAATACATATATATTAGAAAATAAAATTATAAATAAATATCAAGAAGGTGAATCATTACTACCTCACGGTAAATCTTTTAACTATAACATGCATCCTAATTTATTAATTGCTATATTTAAGATACGAAATGCAACAAAAAATAAAGAAAAAATATTTTTATATAATATCATTGAGAATGATTCAAACAAACGAACATTTCTTATAAAAAAGCAATCGTTTCATTTATATGCATTTAATAATAATAAAATACTGATCATGAGTTAGATTTAAAATAAACGAGAAAAAGTATTGAGTTGTTAAAATTTTTATTCCAGGTAATAATTGTCATTAAGCTTTTAGTTACAAAAAGGATAACTAAAATGTTTGCTAACAGATATGTGCAACCCAATGTTCGTAGCTTTTAAAAGATACAATCTATAAATTGCTTTGTTTGAAAAGTTATCGATATACAATTGAGTATTTGAAAACAAATTATTAAAATCGTGAAGAGGAAGGTAAAGCATGTAGGTTGCTCGTAAGAAATTCCGATCAAGGCGACTCCAAACAAGTCGTTTACCCAAAAAAGCGCCAACAGCTAGGAAGTGATTCGCCAAACAAGAGTCGTGAAACCCTGCTGGATTGAAAAATCGCGCCCAGGATCAGTAATCTCTTGATGGGGTAGGGGTATTATACTTTTACAGAGATATTATTAAATCTACATGAATATATTAAAATTAAGGATTCGTTAATTAAAAATTTCTAATGCATAATTATGATTAATGTAGGATACGAAAGATCATTGTGCGATTGATGGTACTAAAATGTCAATTCAAAAATATGCTTTGTTTTGTATAATTCCTCTCTTTGAATTCACTATTTTCTGTGAAACATCAATTAAGTCAGTTTCTATGATTCAAGCAATTTAGTAAATAAAATTAGGGAGTATATTTAATTTATATTTAATATCATATAAAGTCAACTTTGTAACTATCAAGCAAAATTTAACATTCCGTATTCGAAATATTGTTCATTTATTAAAAATCAACTTGTAGTGTTTTGACAAAAGGTAAATTTCCTCGACAGCTTTTTTTGCTATTCAACCATTTCAACCATTTGCTTTCAACCATTGTTTGACAGCTTTTAATCAATGGTTCAATAATTATGGAGACAGAATAAGCTCTAGCTTAAGGTATCGACATAATAATCGATTAATAAGGTGAAATGACAAGTCACTTGTCGGTAAATAAATTGTTTTGCTTAAGCTTATTTATTTTATGTGATATTTTGCTATTTTTTAACTAAAAAGTAACTTGGAAATTCTATTGTAGTAAATAACGACAATGATTAAACATTATCATTTATTAAAGTTTAAATTTTACAAGTTTCTATTTAAAAACTATTACTTAGTTAATCGTATTTAAAATAAAATATTATCTAAAAATCAGCTTTTTTTTGCAAGCAAAAACAACTAATGTTTGTTAATTTCCTTCTACCATAAATTTTTTTCCCCGAGAATCTACCATGTCGAATCTATTTAAAATTGGAAAAATGAGGCTTAGTACATAGTTATATAAAATAATTTTTTTCCCTTGGCCAAATTATTAGACACCCTATAAGATTCCATGCAAAATCTTAATTATCAGGTGATACTAAACAGCTTTATTATTTTCACGAGACTGAAACCGGTTTGCACTTGTTTACGTTCGTGTATCAATTGGTTATCATTGCAATGCAATACGTTAAAAATAAATACAAATAGGAAGTATATAAAAAATATCCTGAATAAAAACCCATTTCACGTATGTTTAAATATAAAAGTATTGAATATAAACACGTGCAAAACATGTAATTATTAAGAAACTACAGTGCCTCTAATAAATTGGTCTAATTATTATAATACAATAATATAATACCTGATATAATAAATATTCTATATTCATATAACATGCATATCTAACACATATCTAATATGTCAAATTTATATTATATATAGTCTAATTTAACCAATTGATATGCGTACGTAAACAAGTACAAACCGGTTTCAGTCGGGAAAAAACAATAAAGCTGAATAGCATCACCTGATAATCAAGACTTGACATAGAATCTTATAGTGTGTCTAATAATTTGGCCTGGGACTATAGATTTAATTAATAACATTTAAGTTGCTTACATGATATTAAAAATTTCGAAATAATATTTTTTAATTTGAGTATAATTATTTTCACAATTTTATCATCTTTTAGATGCTTTCTCTGTTGGTCAAAATATAGCAACTAGAGCAAAAACTGGAAATACTTTGCCATCTTCAGACTGGGATCAAACCATTCAAAGTCTTTACGATGAAGTTAAAGATTTCTACCCTAAATGGATTAGTCCTTTCAGAGCTCCAAAATATCCTATGACAGGTCATTATTCACAAGTGAGTTCTTCAAATTCTAATACTTTAATAAGTTCTCGTTGAATAAATTATATTATCCCTGTCTATATTATAGTTCGTTCACCAGGAGTTGGCACTAGGCACCACCTCCTCGGACGCAGAGTTCATTTCAGCGCGAGAGTAACAGGAGAAACCTCTCCGTGCTTAAAATTGAGACAACCCTTAATGCGCGCCAAACCCAAACAGTGAATTCTTTTTCAGTCACTTATTTTTGCTTTATCGTCTGCTATTATACTTTTCAATACTCTAGCTCATTAAACATATTTTAAATTTAAAAACTGCTGTTTTCCCAGCAAAATTTCTCAGAAAGGGCAAACTATTTACTCAAAGAGAAAAATCTTATGAAATTTATGAAATATTTAGCACTAAAAAAATGCACACGAAGATTGCGAAATAAGTATTTTTGCTATATGATCGCCAAATAGCAACCTTCTTCAGGATTGTTCACATCCTTCTCCCAACAATAGTGAAATAATATCGTCTATACCACGTGATGAAAGCGGAGCCAAGTGCCAACTCTTGGTGAACGAACTATACTCAGGATAGTTTTTCTAGCATCAGAGACAGTATATGAATCGATCCTCTTTGGGACTCCAAAGTTTGTTAATTCGTGTACTGTTACTGACTGCAAGATTACTTGCAGCTCTAGTCCTTCAATTCCAAAATGTTTTCCAATAGGACTGAACTTATCCATTTCTTTTGCATGTGGAGAAAGTAGGAGATGCGAGTTGGATTTTTTTTCTGAAACAGACGGAGCAGACGCAATTTATTTTTCATTCGAGAATTTGAAAATCGAAAATAAAATGACACCTTTCCAATAACAAACAGCAATTAAAATTACGCAGATGTTTCGAGTTGGCCACGCTTAGCATTAATATTTATTTTATTCGATTATATTCATTCATCTTTCTTCAGTAGTTGGGATAATAATTTTTGCTGTTATTATTAACTGCTCTTAGGTAGCTACGAATCTTATATCATTTAGATTAGAAAAATATCAGTGCAAGAAATATATGGCAATGGCACTTTATTTAAAATTTAAAAAAAAACAGCGATGTCGGGAATACCTTGCAAGAGCGGATCAAGCGATGGATCTTAAACAACTAAAACTTAAAAAACTTTAAAAAAAAACTTAAAAAATAAAAACTAAAAACTTAACTTAAAAAAAACTTAACTTAAAAAAACTTAAAAAAACTTAAAAAAAAAATATATATCAGTGTTAGGAAAAACAGTCAAAGTGTATATTAGAAAATGACAGCATTAGTGAAGTGTACACGATACACTTTTCTAAATTGCAAATGATCTATATTCCCAGTCCTGCGATAGGCTTCAGCTCATTCATCTGTACGGGGTTTTATATAAATTTGCTTAAGCACATTTTTTTTCAGTATTAAAAAATGTGAAGATTCTCTGATTAGGAATCAGAAATAATAAAGGAATAGCATACGTCTCAACATTTCCCTGTCTCGCCTACCCTCAAAGATTTAACCCCGATTTTCAATGCTGCACTGGGAAATGTCTCGGCCAATTAAGAAATTAAAATGGAGAAATTATCCGAAAAACTATTTAGATACATATACAGTGCTCCAATATATATATATATA